ATCATAGCAGTACAGCGAAACTGAACAAAATGGCTGATGTGTTGCTACAATAGTGCACGGGAAAATGTTAAAACGCTGGATGATAAACTATAGCGCAGTACAAAAAATCTAAAAAAAATTGACGAGAAAAAAGAGAAATGAAAGACAAAACAAAGCAAGAACCGGCTGTTTGCAGTATACACGGTGTCCAATCATACTGATTCCGAATCCGAAGGAAAAATACTCCTTAAAATGTAATACAGTTGTTGCCCGGGATATAAAAGCATCCACCTAATCACTACAAAAATTGCTCAAGTTTGAATCATTCCGAAGCTGCTGACGGCAAATTGGAATTCCGGAAGGTACAAACTAAAAAAAAAATTTGGTACTCAAAAAATATGCCAAAGAAAACAGCATAGTTTAGTAAAAAAACTTCGAAAAATTTCAATAAAACCAAATTATCAATTTTATCTTTTTCAGCAAAAATTCTCGATAATTTCTACGAAAATTAGTCAATGATAAATGCCTTTGCATTACTTCGGCTATTTTCAGCTGTACCCATTTTCGAAGCACAAAGTGAAATATGGAGGAAGTTTCAATTTTTGATGCTGGCGTAGACAAAGCAAATGATCAATGCATCAAAATACGATGATCAAAGAGCAAGAGATGCTGTTCAAAGTATTAAAGTACAATACACTGGCAAATGGCGAGAATTAAGTACAAAAATCTGTTGAAATTACGAAAATCGAAAAAAAAAAACCAGTTGAAAAGATGAAAAAAAACAGACAAGAAATTTTTATAAATTTTGAAATATAAGAAATCCTCGACCAAATAACATAAGTTTTTTAAAAATTCGATGCATATCAGTGTTTTTTAGCATTTTCTTTGAAAAGGTGTGAAATTTTCTTTTCCTTTCAAAATCTCAAACTTTTCATTTTTATACTAATTCTATACCAGAATACCCTTTTGGTATTATATGTCCGCTTTGTTTGATGAATAAATGTATCGCACCAACTTTTGGCACCATAATATGCAAAATTCAACATTTTCTACATAAAATTTTTCAATAAATGTGATATGTTTTTACATCATAAAATGTTTTTAACCGGAACTTCTGAAACCCATAAAGATGCAAATTTTTTACTAAAAAATGAAAAAAAAAAAGAAAATTCAGGTCTATTTCGATATCACAGCAGAGCAAAAAGATTCAAGAGCTGTTCGAAAGAAGAAATCACTCGGCTGATCAGAAAGATGAGATCTAGCATGAACTAGCGGCAGGAGTATGCAACAAATAACTGCTATCAGCGAAACGTGGATTCTCTTCACATCTGCTTCTTATTATCTGCTGAATCACTGGATTCGGCCTGAAACTGCAAAAATGTACAAATTTTTCAAAATTAGTGGCGCTGCGCACTGTGAACTGATCAGAATATACCCTTTCACTGAGTTTTATCACTGGAAGCCTAATTTGTATATTTCAATTTAATCGGGCTATAGCTCAAATTTAAGTGAACTAAAAAGCATGGTACTAGGTACCGAGCAGATTGCAGTATCCAGGTTGATTCTGGAAGTGCAAATGGCGAAGGTGCGAAGGAATTCAGGAGCAAAAAAATAACGTAGGAGAGAAGGTAAGAGTGAGAAAAGACGTTTCGGCCCACTAACTAGGCCAATAGTGTTAAAAAGATTAAGCCTCGTTGTTTATTCAGTCGCGAATTAACAAACTCACATAGAAAACCATCAATTTCGACCTCTTTTTTGCATAAATACATAAATGTAAAAAAAAAGCACAAAAATTTACAACGTTGTGAGGATTTTTTAATCTATCTATTGGTATTGGAATTA